GTAGGTCTGCGTCCAAGGAGAACTTTGCGAACAGTGCTGTGGACAGCCGAGGAGCAGGGCGGAGTCGGAGCACAGCAATACTTTAATCTACACAAGGTACTGTCTGCTGTTACCGTGCCAATCAGTAGAAAACAAGCACGGAGCCAATGTTATTCCAGCTGCCCAAAAAGCAGGAAGGGTCACAACTGTGAAAAGGCAGTTTAAAAAGGCACTTCCACCAAACTGAAGGGACTTGGCTAGCTCCCATGTTTTTCCTGTGCAAAGGATCTAAATAAGAATCTGGAGTCTTACAATTTCCTTCTTTGGAGTTGTTGCTGCACACTAGGCCCTGACCTGTAATATACTGCGTTTTAAAAAACAGAAACACCAGTGTACCATAACTGCCCGTGGGACTGGTCCAGTTCTTACATTTGATGTATAATTACGTTTTAAATTGCCTAAATTAGTTAAGGCAGCTGCTCAAGGTACTTATAGTGGCTGGCTGAGTGTGTATGCTTTGTTTGCGAGTACTTTGGTTCGGTTTGCTTTCTTTCACCTTTTATCTCTGATAATGACATGTTCCCCCTTTTTGCGTCCTCTCTGCACACAGGTAAACATGTCTAACTTTGACCTTGTCATGGAGTCCGACTTGGGGACATTCACCCCCATTGGCCTGCAATTTACAGGCAGTGATGCAGCACAAAAGGTGATATTAAAACCCAACTATTTAAAAAAAATAGTGGTATTAGATTCTGAATTCTGCCGCACACAGATTTTGCAAACTGACATGAAAATAGCATCTTGTCCAGTAAATGTACTTGTTTTTTCATTAAAGTCTGTAAAGGTTTCATATATTTACATGTAAAAAGGAAGTAGTAGGAACCACAGCATCTTTCATGTTAATGTGGAACCAAAACATCTGTATGTTGTCACTGAATGTTCCAGTAGTGCTCAAATCTAGAAATTACAATCATAATATTGTCATAATAGTTATATAAAGATAATTTCCTGTGTCTTTTTCCATCTCGACAGGTGATGGAAGAAGTGGTCAAACTTTTGGCTCCCATTAATACAACCAAACTCGAGGCCCACGGTGAAGGGACAGACATCTCACCTTGGATGCAGGCAGGAGTTCCAGGTCAGTCTAATCAATATGCCTGTCTGCAACGAAATGGTATAACTAAAGGTTTATTTTAAAGCGGACAGTAGGGACATTGGAGTTTGCATTTTCTCTCTATGCCTCCATGGGTTCTCTCCATCTTCCTTCCAATTAACCTAGCATGCGTGTTTTTTTAATTGATTGTTCAAAATTGGTCATAGTTGTAAATGTCAGCATGAATAGCTGTCTGTCTCTGAGTGTTAACCCCATGACAGCTGGGATAGGCTGGGGAAAGCCACATCACTAATGAGCACAAAGTTAAAAAGGAAGTAACACATCCTACTTTTAGTGGTGGGAATTTTAATGATCTCTCTTCGGCGGAAAGTGCTGAGCACAAAGAATCACATCCTCACCGATAGCCTATGAACAGATTCTAGTTAATACAATCTGGCTCCACTTCCTTAAAGCCAGTTGGGTATTTTAACTAGAATGACTTAAAACTATGAAGCAACACTTCAAGACGTCTAAATTATGGATATTAAAGTTAAAGTTGTAACAGTCCTGTTACTGCTAATACAGTATAGAGTTGAAATAAAGTGTAATAAATATAGATTAATCAAATCAATTGTCTGAAATTGTTTAGTGTTATATTTAAAAAAAACATACAGACCTCTTCTACTTCCTTTTCAACTGTATCTCAGTTTAAATCTCTAACTGCGAGTACAAAAATCTAATCAGCCAGTCACATGGCTGCAGTTGAGTGCATTTAGGCACGTAGACATGATCAAGACAACCTGCTGAAGTACAAACTGAGCATTAGAATGAGGAAAGAAGGTGACTTCAATTGGGCCATGGTTGTGGATGGTAGACAGGCTATTTCAGAAACTGCTGATCTGATGGCTCTGATCTCTGAACTCACAGCACATTGAAGCTTGAAGCAGATGGGCCTCAGCAGCAAAAGACCACAATGTACAATAAGCAAACAGGTTCCAGTTTACACAGGTTCACCAAAATTGGAAACTTTCATTGTTGATTCTTGATTTTTGCTACGATATTAAGATGGTAGGATCAGAATTGGGGGTAAACATGAAAGCATGGATCCATCCTGCCTTGTGTCAACAGTTCAAGCTGCTGCTGGTGTAATGGTC